ATTTCAAAATTTGGGCCCACTTTTGGGTTTTAGGGCCCCAAAATATTTTTGAACTTTTTAAGTTTTTTTCTCTGACGGCTGAAATTTGCAGAAGTACTCGTTGCCATAAGTCGCGCCCTCAAAACCCTGGTTTGCCGTCATCCAAATCCGCTTTTGCAAAAATGTGAATTTTCGGGAGTTTTCAAACCTGGATTTAATTAGAAGGGTTCCTCGTTATCAATTGTAATATGTAAGATTTTATCCCAGACAGACACAATAGAAATAGTGCAACACTGGGGGATGGTAATAGCGTGGAATTGTATTTAAATCAAATATTATTCATATATATGAATAAAAATAAATTTATTTCAAGTTCCTCATCTCTACTGGCCAATTTTTCTTGTTTTAGTAGCCGTTGTACTGATATATTATCTTAGTCAAAATAGAGAACGAACGTGTATAAGGGGTCTTCTAGCTTTGCACATTTTAGACTAACCAAACCCGTCTGGCCCAGTTATCTACTCCCGACCTCGTAGATCTTAGATATCGAGAGTAGATAACTGGGTGGGTTTGGTTAATTTTAGACCAGTCATAATACGTAACTATTTCCAATATGTTTAACGTTTTGGTAGATATAAAGGTAACACATATAAAATTCTAATAAAACGAACTTTTATATTTCGTGGCCTCATTACATTAAATACTTATTTCGTTTGGAATGGCCTTAAACCCTGGTCCACGAAACAAACATATAAATAAGGGACTTGCGCACCCGGGTTTGACTGTAAACCTCCTGTTCACTGTCGCTGCCCTGTCAACCCTCACGCATTAGGCGTTGTTTTTAAAAAATTTTAATTTGCTAAAAATCGCCCTTTCTTATCTTATTTTGATGCAAATTGCTTACCTTTTTTCATGTCTTATTTCATTTTCAAATGTTTTCTGATATTCTTTCGCTTTAAAACTGTTTTAGCTAGTCAAAATGAACCATTAATCTAAAAAAATTACTTTACTTTCATTTCACCGTTACTATGTTCCCGGATGTACCAGCGTACTCTTATTAATTTGTTCTGTTTGATATTTTAGTGCATTAGCGTTCGGTATTTCAGTGCACTTTTCTCGAACTTTTTCTCGATGTACATCGCGATGTGCATCGATGTTTACTACTGAAAATTGCCGATGCATCAATGTACGATTATGGCACATCGCGCCAACACTAATTAGGCGTGATTGTCACGCATTTGCTCACGCGGTAGGATCTCTTCGGGACGTATCGAAACCACTCCGTCCCGAAAAAACCGTTAATTTGAATTTAAAACCTACCCCAGTGTTTGAAAATCAAGGATTGTGAGTCTCACACTTCACCATTTTTCTTCAAACTTGTTCCGTACAAAGCTTCACAGAAATACCTTTCAGTCGATACATTGTTTTCGTGTACAAAGTACTTCGTTTTAGCGGCGTTTAAGTCCCCAGCTGTGAGATAAAGCAAATTTTCATAACTTTCAACTGTAAGTCAAGTTATCTCGCCAGTCTTTTACCCATTCTCGCCCATGATTTCAGAATGGACTCCCATTACAACCTTCCATCGCTACGTCTTGATTTTTGGGCATCAAACGCAGCAGTTTCTAAATCATCCACACATCTCTTCAAATTTGACCAATACGCCCCGTCATCTTCCACTACGCCCCGCCGAGTCTATCACTATACACGTAGAGTTGCATTCTAAAACAATTTGTCCATCGATGTGTCCGTTTGTAGGTTGCCATTGTCGATTCTAAATACCAATCGGATTGTGTTTGATTTACCCATTCTTGTCCATTTTCAATATACCTATAATAGGGTGGTCCAAAATCTCCCTAATATTTAGATTTCCCGATATTGCAATATAAAGATTTTAATTACTGAACAATTGAAAATATTTTTAAGAAACGTTTAAAGTGCCCTATCCTTGAAAAAATGTGAAAATGCGAAAGGATGGGTGATGTCAATTATATTATTTTCAGCATAACGTTAGAAACATGTATCATTTTATATGGTACACGTTTCATAATGTAATCCAATGGAATCATACAGAAGAAAGGTTGACACACAACAGTTAAAATCTTTATATTACATTATCAGACCAAGTCAGTAGATGTTGTTTATATACCAATTAGTGTTGTATGATGATGCATTCTTTATATGAATCTAGAAACGTTTTTGTGCCAATATTGCTCAATTTTGATAACATCTCCGTTATTTTGAAATTAAGCGTGGCAAAGTTTCCCGATGGATTTAGCTAAAAAAAGTGGTGCCTGTAGGGTTATTGAAAATCATACATGATGAAGAAAAAATACATATTCCTGAAATACAACAGTTTAATTTTGAGTTATAAACCATTTATGAAAACGGCATATTTGTCAAAATTACCAAAAGTTCAAGTGAGACGCGTGGCAAAATTTCCCAGGGGTCTAGAGTGGAAATATTTGTACCAAGAGTCAATTTGTAACTAGAATCTATCAGATGACAGATTTTTGGAAAATTTTGCAGATTTGGACAACCCTAACCTATAACTTTGTTGAACCTGAAGAAACGTATCAACTTTTTGTTAAATAAAGATAGCAAATTCAGCTGTCTACTGTACCTAACTTGTACTTTTTGCTAGTACTCAGATTGATGGATATTCTGTCGTATGGCATGCGACAAACACCGGTGTAAAAGCGTAGGTGGTCCTATCAAATTATGGTCCTAGTCTCTATTGATTTATATGGTGACCTGATTACAATTATTTTCCTTATTATTTATACACAATCGGGGCCAGAAAGGGCCGTTAGGAAAGGGGACCATAATCCCAAGGGGACCATAATTTCTTTCACACCGACTTTGTTAGTACTTTTCCTTGGATGTCATACAGTACATTTACACTGTGGCATGATGATGAACTAAGAAAATATGTATAGTCATGACAAAATGTTCTTTGTGATATAATATTGTATAGTATCATTCTGATACGTATTACATGTTTATGTTTAGTGCATAAAATTCATAGCCAGATCAATAATTCGGAGAGAATACGCTGGACGATAGAATATTAAAAACTATAAAAACATTCTTCATAGAATTAAGCAAATAGTGTTATTATCATTTAAGTAGTAACTGCATATGTTTAAAACCACTTTGTTTAAATACAGGTAAATAAATAAATATGATGCAATGAAAATTGAAGCTTTCTGTCGAGAGCAATAGTCATCACAATAGTATAGCGTTTTTTCTTTTACATGTTACTTTTTGTACATCATTGATTCATCCGCTCTAATCTGCCCTCGGCCGATAATTTATAAATTATTTATAAAACAGGATTCCAGATTTTATTGTGTTTCAAACCAGACACTTGGTTTCCTCACAAAATCAAATACAGGACAATTACATATAATTAAAGTTAAAAAGCAACATCTTCACAAACATTTAAATTATCAATTTCATGCAATCAGTTATAGTTATACTCTGTATGTATGCTAAACTTAAGACTGGTGTTAAGAATCGACCAAGGCAAACCTACGTAAAATTACACATCGATGAACAAAATGTTTTAGAATACAACTCCACGTTTGTAGTCATAGACTCGGCGGGGCGTAGTGGAAGGTGACGGGGCGTATTAGTCAAATTTTAAGAGATGTGTGGATGATTTAGAAACTGCTGCGTTTGATGCCCAAAAATCAAAACGTAGCGATGGAAGGTTGTAATGGGAGTCCATTCTTAAATTATGAGCGAGAATGGGTAAAAGACTGGCGAGATAACTTGACTTACAGTTGAAAGTTATGAAAATTTGCTTTATCTCGCAGCTGGGGACCAAAACGCCGCTAAAACGAGGTACTTTGTACACGAAAACGATGTATCGACTGAAAGGTATTTCTGTGAAGCTTTGTACGGAACAAGTTTGAAGAAAAATGGTGAAGTGTGAGACTCACAATCCTTGATTTTCAAACACTGGGGTAGGTTTTAAATTCAAATTAACGGTTTTTCGGGACGGAGTGGTTTCGATACGTCCCGAAGAGATCCTACCGCGTGTTGCTGGAAAAATAGAAATCACGCATCAATTTAGCGTGTATGATCAAATATCACGCAAATCACTTATTTTTTATGATCAAATATCACGCAAATCACGCTATTTTGTTGAAATTTTAAAAATCATTTTTTAGTGAAATGCCGACACGGTAAAATACGGAACGGCAAAAAAAAGCGAACGCTTCCCTTCGGTCTTTGCACGCGATTTCCGTTTATGTCACGCATTTGGTACAAAATATGTGTATAAATCACGCATTTGTTTCGAAAATATTCACCCCGCACATTTGTCAACGGAAACAAACAGTGAACCCTGCTTTCCCGGTTTCCAGGATTCGCCTTGCATGCCTTCGCTCTCGAAATTTGGGCCCCCCCCCTTTATTATTGGTTCCCAGATCCGCCCCTGGGACTAATGAAACTTTATCGATTATGATGTTATTAATCGGATCTAAGCTTAGCTATGCATTATTGCATTAAAGAACTTACTCAACAGTGGGAAACACGGCATCAATCCAGGTTAGCATGACAGACGAAACCCATACATTTACTGGTTTGGTATATTTTGGTATATATATTTGGTATATCTAAATTAGGGTTAGCTAGCTAAATTTAGGTAGGGGAGTCAAAATAAACTTGTTTATTAAGTCCCTTAATCAATTATCCTAACAGTGTTCTACAGCTAAAATAATCTAATGGATATTAGATCTAGCTTATTATGCTAAAGTACTTTACCAATATGTTTTGCTCCAGGTGAAAAGATCCTTTATTGGGATATGCTGCAGCTTCATAGCTACTATGGCCGTGTAATCTGCACGCAACTTGTTCAGTGCAAACATCGTCGAGGTACATGAATCTGCCTACAAGCCTTCACTCTTGGAAGATTCTACATCAATCAAAATTAGATCTACCATGGTCCTTTGACAAATACTATGTAGGAGACATGTTATAAGACTTTGGTCTAAAATTGAAGCTCGACAAAGTTTTATCTTTTCGACCTAAGCTGCAGGATATCACAAATTGAATAACATCAGCAGGATTCGCAACAAGCAAGATTTGTATAAACTTAGTGTAGTCTGCTTAAAAGAGCTCAAAAACTTTCAAATGGTGTGGTGAATATGCAGGTAGGTCTAACTGTTTTTTTTATCATGAAAAAGCTGATTGATTCATATTGGTTTGGGACTTGGGTCTAATTTTCGACATAAGATCTAAAAAGTCACTGACTTTTTTGCAAAAAAACTTCCAAAAAGTAGGCCTAATAGTCGCATGAATTCACATTGTCGTACTTACAAAATGATCCACAGTCTAAATTATGCACCATCGAACTCGGTAATGTTGTACACGGAACTATTAATTACCGTATATTCCCGGGCTTGCTTTTCAGCATTTCAAGCGAAAATTCTCTAGTCTACGGAGCTTTTGTTTTTCTGACGTAATTTCTTCTTAGAAATCGGTGACGTGATAGGTTCAGTTCATCTTATTTCGAAAGGGTTGTCATCTATTTAGAATATTTATTTTCATCTTGTCCAGTCCTATATACAACCTGCCCTTATCCTTTTCGCTTGTAAAACCGCGTAATGTTGAAATTATGGAAAAGATTCTCTGAGAGTGGCGACATGTCTGCATTTATCTTATCGCATCCTGCGACCCCTTTAGATTGTGGTCGTAGGCCCGTTTCATTCGTAAGCCTGTCTTTCTACAATGTCGGAGAATGAACTACGCATTGCGCTATTAAATGACCTACCTCGATACATTCCAGAGTATTTTAAAATTCTTTTTATGTTGTTAGATCGTCAATTGTATGGGTTTATCGTCAGAACGAAGAGATTTTAGTTTTTACATCGGAAATATCTCAGCAATTTTCAAAATGTCGGAAGGGGAATTCCCCAGGGATTTCCCTTATGACTGTTGCATGCCGAGAACTGAATGGAGGAATTTGACGGTTGAACCTACACGCAATTATTGCTATCAAAAACGAAAATATCTTCGTTCTGCCGATAAACCCATACAATTTGCGATTCAACTATATGAAAAGAATTCTAAAATACTCAGGAATGTATCGAGGTAGGTCATTTATGTGTGCAATGCATAGTTCATTCTCCGACATTGTAGAAACACAGGCTTACTAATGAATCGGGCCTACGACCACAATCTAAAGGGGTCGTAGGATGCGATAACATTTATCCCGTACCAGGACTATAGTCCTGTAACGAGCGCATTCTTTTGCCTGTACGATTACAACTTGGGAGAATTATCTATGCCCCTTACACTTAAGATACCTACTTCAATAGATTCCTGGGTGTTTTAGCATTCTTTATGTCTAGTTGAATCCACAATTGTTTGGGTATATCGGCAGAATGGGAACATTTTTCTTTTTTATCGAGAGATATTCCATCACTTTCCAAGATGGCGGTTGGATTTAAAAGGGGATTCCCCGTTTGACTGACCCGGAAGTAGCCCGGATGTACCAATAAATGGAGGAATTTGATGGTTAAAATAAGTTAAATATTACACGCAAATATTGCGATCAAAAACGAAAATTTCTTTGTTCTGCCGATTAACCCAGACAATTGTGGATTCAACTACACGAAAAGAATGCTAAAATACCAAGGAATCTATTGAAATAGGTATCTTAAGTGTAAGAAGCGTAGAAAATTCTCCCATGTTGTAATCGTAAGGGCAAAAGAATAAGACTTTCGCAGGACTATAGTCCTGGCACGGGATAAGTCTGCATCTCTACCATCTTGCGTTTGACACCCCTCGTTTTGGGCGACTCCAAGTAAACCACACATCCGGGTGATTAGAAAACGGACATTTTTTTTAAAAATCGAGCGGCAACAAAGATACTTCTGGTCAAACTGAGTTTATGACGAAACTTATGAAAGAATCAATAAAAGGTAAGTGGTATACATTAGGGCGGATGCCAAAAATTAAACGTGGTGCCAATTTGAAACTTCAGAATGTTTTCTGTGATTCAAAATCACAAAAAAGTCGAGTGACTTTTAGATGTCGAAAATCTTAATTGTACGAAACTTTCCCAAGGCTTAAAGTTTTCCGGATTTTCCGGCTAGTTCCGGTACTTTCAGACCGAAATTTGACCCCCATGAGATCAGTGCAAATCCGGGTTGATATCAGAGGGGGGTATGGGTTGATCTGAAGCCCAAATAAGTTGAAGACTTGAGGAAAAAATCGTTTAATTGCTGGCCCCAAAACAGCTGATCAGCTGATTCACGTGTGATTTGTTATTTAATAAATAGGTCAGGTTCATAAATTATGTGGCTGTTCATGTTTATTTTGTCACTCCCGTTGTTATTATGTTGGATAAGTATTGAATAATAAGGGAGTATGTATTCTGAAAAGAAGAGCACGTGATTTGCCTGTGGTCTACGGAAATTTCGAAATATAGACTTCGTGTTGTTACGTCCTGACTTCGGTCGTTCACGATCATTGATCGGCAATTCCCGTACATTATCGGCTCATTTAGTTCAAAATGGCGACTATCGAAGAGGGAATGGCTCTCCCTTGCGAAAATGGAGTCAAAAATAAGTTCCTTTGGAAATGGTTAGATGAAAAAGGAGATGAAGATGTAATTCATCAATTGTGGCTCCGAAAAGTTGACGAGCCGGGTGTGTGCTTATGCGCAGTTTGTGGAAAGAAAATGAAATATGGGACATCGGGGAAAAAAATCTTGTATCAACATAGTAAAGAGTAACACCACAAACAAAAATTGAGAGGTAATTTTAGTTTTATTATGTTAGAATTATATCGGAGTTAATTATATTTCATTAACAGGACTAATAAATCTCATCTACCGATAAATATTTGTCATATAGATAATGTCAATCAAACGTCTCATTAGGCTCAGACATGACATCTATATGCTAGTCTACTCGAGATGTAGAATCTAGGCCTAATCTAGGCTTGTCTGATGTGCAGCAATCAATAGACACTTCTAGGGCTGCAATGTAAAGTATTGTAGCATGCAAGGTCTCTACACAACTGGACCCTGATGCTAAATCAGGAAACTGACACTTAGTTTATATTCAATACTATATACACGTTTATTAACCTATAATATGTACACTTAAATCACTCAGTTAAGATGATTATCTATTCAAAATGTCTCTAATATATGTAGAAGATATGTCACTGCTATGATATCTCCACTAATAATTCATCAATCAGTATTTATTCCACATCCAATATCCCATAACAACCAGGTTTCACACACACAAAGGTCACTCAGTGCATATTCCAAGAACTAATCAATATAATGGTAGCGGCCCAAGTTCTTGCTTCTTTAAGTGTTTCTTGCCAAAATATGTATACTAACTGAATCATCAATGTGCCATTTATTCCCAATCAATCACATACCAATAGTCAGTCACTGTATGAAAGACTCTAAATTTGTTCGGTAATTGACCACAATTGCCCAGAAACGTCTAGACCAAATCAGCTGTCAGTTATTCCATTCAGTCGCGTACTAAACGTCACATTTCACACTGTTATTATACCTCAAGAATCATTCATAAGCAATTAGAAACACTGTCCACACACTGGGATATGCAATTCTAGATCATGAATTTCAAATCCAACAATCATCAAAAGTCGCGGACTTTTCTACCAAAAGTCGCAGACCAGTCGCGGACTTCCACACACAATTATTCAAAGAACACTACCAAAATGTCATCAAAACCAATTTCAAACACAAGTCCATACATTCAGACACACTTGGGACGGGAAATTATATTACAAATAACATTACTAGGGCTGTCGCGGACTGTCGCGGACTCTCACCATTTAGAGTACGTGTTGCCACTCCGAGTTACCAATGCCAAAGACAATTCAAATTCCCCGCCTCACTCTTTTATAGAGGAACCAATCACGAACGCATTATTAATGACGTCACGCACCATTGTCAATCTAGAATCACCATTTTTACCACGCTATTGGTATCATACATCGCCGTCATATATATAATTACGATCATAGAGTTCATCTTTAAGTTATTATGTAGAAGATTCCATATTTAATGCGTTGAATCACATTTTAACATCGAAACGTATTGGTCGTCAAGTGAGACTATTTTCAAATGCAATCCAATATGGCGGACGACACCTGGAAATTTCTACGAATTCTCATGTTTCATGTCATAACTTCTTCAAACTACAATCAAACGGCTAGTTCTTCTGCCACAACATAGGGACAATTCAGTTGATTTAAAAGATTCAGCATTCTAAGGTAAAACTTCATGTCTTCAACATCATTTCACCAGGGGACTGATATTTTTACAAAATATTTCAGGTTTTGTCTCCTCAGATCATCACACAACTCCCCCCTTAATGAGATGCGTCCCGCATCTAATTCAATTACAAAATATTTCAGGTTTTCAGGTTATGCCAGTATATCACTCCTTTGTTTCTCTGTTAATCTAAATGCATCTAGTTCCATCGCTAAGTTAATAGCCTCCGTCACTGTTTTTGGTTTCTTTGTTTGTACATACATTCTGGCATCTCTGTCTGGTAACTTATTAATCACATGTTCAACAGCTATAGTTTCATGTCCCATTGCTGAAAATTCTGGGTAACCTCGCCTCACTAATCTTTTTATAGCTTGTCCAAATTCTTGATAGGATTCTTCTTTCTTCTTCATCCTGTTTTTCAATTGTACTCTAAATGTTTCAATGTTACATATATCATCAAAACGTCTACTCAACTCATCAACCATCATTGAGTAATTATTTCTTGTGGCCGTACTCATGTCACCCAATAATTGCTGTGCATCTCCCCGTAAATTGACAGCCAAATGAGCCACCTTTTGGGCATCGTTCCAATTATTAATCACTGCCACAGTTTCAAAATGTATTTGGTAATCTCTCCATGCTACTTCACTTGTGCCTTTAAATTTGTCAGGAACAACATCTGCTTGTTTCACATTATAACATGTACCATTTCCTGCAGGTACATTAAATACATTCAACTTCTGCTTTTCCACTGTCTCTCTGGTACCTAATGCTTCTTGAGAGCTGGAAGTGTCCATACTTCCCCTCAAGACTTGGGAGCTGGAAGCACCAGTGCTTCCCCCCGGATCATGGGAGCTGGGAGTTTCATTACTCCCCCCCATA